ACTATAGGCTTGCCGCGATAGACGGTGTTGACGGTGTTTACCGGTTTTAAGCCCCATCACCGGTGACATCACTTTCCCACCGTGACACCGCGATGTCTTGACTTTTTTTTTTAAAGTATTCGTTTTTGCTAAAATATTTATTTGAATTAATTAAAAATAATAATTTTCAATTATTTAGTTCTGAAGAGAGCATTATAATTAAAAATGAACTGCGCAACGCGTGCCGTCACGTCACAGATCAGCAAGCATCAGGATTCCATTTAGCACGTGTGGAGACGAGAACGAGTCAAATTACAGAAAAGCAAGATAATGGCGGAAGATTTGGTGTCAAAACGCAATACAAAAGCGCCTGTTTGGCAATATTTTGGCCAATATATATTAATGTTAATAAATGCCAATTTATAGTGTTTTACTTTTTTTTAGAGTGCTGTCATTTATGTAGGCTAAGGTCCTTTTTAAAGTTTTTATTTTATATTCGTCTCTTTTTATTTGGTTTCATCTTATTTAAACTTTGTTTAATTTATTTAGGCCTATTTTGTTTTCTTATTCTTTAATAAACGTTTTATTTTTTTTCGGCCCACAGTTTGCCGATTTTCACTTTTTTCAGCCTATGCATGGGGTTATTTTTATTCGTTCGTTATGCTAATAAAAGTCTATAAATAAAAGTTTTATTATCAGCGAGTTGTTTTTTTTGTCCATTCAAGCAATTGACGCTTATTTCGAAAGTGAAAGTATAACGCGCACGCATTTAAAAGCTATTTAACCCCCCGCCCTGCCCTCCACGGTGACACCGGGATTACCGGTGTTGTCACACGTCGATTAACCGGTGGGAAATTTTCCTCACCGCGGCAACCCTACTTCACTAAAATCTTGTTAACATTAGTTCATGCACTGTGAACTAACAATGAACAGTACTGTATTTTTATTAACTAACATTAACGAAGATGAACAAATGCAGTAACAAATGCATTGCTCATGGTTAGTTCACGTTAGTGTATACATTAACTAATGAATCTTATTGCAAAGTGTTACCAAAAAAAAAAAAAATATGGGCACACAGAGCAGCAGTGTTGCATTACTGTACCATGATGTTGGGCAGCGTGGCGTATCTGGGAGTGTTGAGACGGAGGTCAGCGGTCACGACGGCTGGCATATTGATCATAATGGTCTCCAATCCACCATCGATTTCTCTCACCACCTTCAGCTTGCCTCCTTCTAAGGTCAACTCAGATGCAAATGTTCCCTAGAAAATGATCAAATAATTCGGTCACTCTCAGTCCAGAAAGAAATGTGACGTAACAGGCAGAGCAAATATCAAATTGGACTCAATTTGCCCGGTAAGTTTTATAATTTGTTGTAGTTCCACTGTTGGACACTGGGTGACGTGTGGGTTTAAAGGGATACTCCCCTTTTTTTGGAAATAGGCTCAGTTTACCACTCCCTAAAAACTTAAGCAGTTTTACCGTTTTCGAATGTATTCAGCCGATTTTTTGATATTTAGAAGAATATCAGTAACCAGACAGTTTTTGGTCTCATTGACTTCCATAGTAGGAAAAAAATATACTATGGAAGTCAATGAGACCAGAAAGTGTCTGGTTACTGATATTTAAAAAAAAAATCAGCTGAATACATTCGAAAACGGTAAAACCCAACTGTTTAACTCTGGAGGAGTGCTAAAATTAGCCTATTTCCAAAAAAAGTGGAGTATCCCTTTAAGAAGTATATATGTAGCCAGAGAGCAAGCGCAGTCAGGTGCGAGTATTGAGGGAAACAAACCATTTTTGAGCGTGTCAGGATTGTATGTGGGCATGCAAACTTGTGGATTATAATGCGTTTTGGCATCGAAACTGACATATAATCCTATAATGATCCTAACACAACACCTCTAAGTGACAAGAAGGTTGTACATTTCTCCTGCAAAAATCACTACCATGATGCTAGGGTCTTCAAATATAACATTACTAAATATACAGATGGGAGCAAACCTGCGGCCAGTCCAATAGAGCTGCCGTCATCTGTCCAGTCTGATTGCAGTCGTCATCTATGGCCTAAAAGAGGAACATAACACAATATCATGAAATCAACCGATGAATATTCAATAATTTGTTTATACTGTACAGTAATTAAGCGTCGGCTACCTGTTTACCCAGAATGATCAGATCGGCTTCCTCTTTCTTAGCGAGAGCAGCCATTATCTTGGAGACCTGCAGGGGGCCGAGCGTCTCGTAGTCTTTCCCGGACACTTCCACGTGTATCCCGCGGTCCGCACCCATGGCCAGAGCCGTCCGGATCGTCTCCTGCGACACAGATGTTAATGATTCAGGGTTCTCAAGTTTTATCAAAAGACCACATGGGTTAGGGGAGGAGCCCTAATGAAGCCCCGCCCATCCATTTTACCCATTGTTCATAATTAACCAGCACAAATTGAAATTATTACAATTGGTAAATCTGATAAATGACAGAGCAATTCATTACATCAAATATACTCTTTAATGTTATATTTCAAAATTACAAAAATATAACAAATTGCTCCAAACAGTTTGGAAAACAAATCTTTTTGCATTTTGAGTGCGTCTAGTCCCCTGCTGTGTGTATTCTGGTGAGAAGACCAACAAGAAGCCGAGCTCACGCTGTCAAAAACAGTTATATATTTGCGCTTTTATATATTGTTCATCCAAAGCATCACTGAAATATTTAAATGTTTTTGTTCATTTAAATTAAAAGTTATGTTCTGTATTATATAATGATACAAAGTGAAACTATTCCAGGTGTTTTTCATTGCAAGTTTTTTTTATTTTATAAAAAAAAAAAAAAAAAAAAACTACTCCATTTTTATTATTGCCAGATTTTTTTTGAGTTTAATGGGGGGTCCGACAAAAAAACTTTGAGAACCAGTGTGGTAAAGGAACATAAAGACACAAAACTCTTAAAGTCTCCCTGCAGTCAATAATTTTATCCCTTAAAACTCATCTTTGATCACCAAAAACCTGATTAAAAGCTTGATGCTCACAACAGGGGGACTTTAATAAGAAACTAAAACTGCCAGTAGGTGGTGGTAAATCATTGAGTCATTCATTCATTCGAGTCGTTCAAACGGCTGATTCATTCAGGAACGAGGTAAATATGTGCATTCGACTTGCAGACTGATAGGTCTATGACATCCAAGTACTGTACCATGAGAGCCAATCAAGATATATATATATAAATATTAGGGCTGTGCAAAAATTAATTGCGATTAATCGCATCCAAAATAAAAGTCTGTGTTTACATAATATATTTGTGAGTGCTGTATATAATTATCTTGTATATATAAATACACACACATGCATGTATATATTTAAGAAAATGTGTTATTCATATATAAAATATTTATATTTATATAATATAGATTATGTATATATATATATATATATATATACAGAATTTAAGCGCAAATAATTTTTAAATATATACATGCATGTGTGTGTATTTATATATACAAAATAATTATATACAGCACACACAAAAATATTATGTAAACACAGACTTTTATTTTGGATGCGATTAATCGCAATTAATTTTTGCCCAGCCCTAATATATATATATATATATATATTAAGAGTGTAACAATATATTGTTTGTCACAATATATCGCAATACAAAAATGCATCAATATGTATCATGGATGGTTAACCCAAAATAAAAAAAAATTTAAAGAATTTTAGTGTCAGTACTACATTAAACTGCTATATATAATGTTGAATATAATGTATAATAATATAAGTTGGCATAATGATAATACCAGTCTACATTATTTTAAATATATCTAGTCAGTGACAGAGTGTAAGCATGTTCGTCTAAAATAATTCAGCTTCATAATCATGAATATTGTTATTCTGGTGTGTCTATTATCTTGTGCTTTGGGTTTCCAGCACCAAGTCCATCCTATTCATTTACACACACACACAATGTAACATCAAAATTAACATTTTAATCAACTATTCATTTTTGTTAAACTTTTACTCTTGGATTATCGCAATAATATCGTATCGTGATACCCATCGAATCATAACATGAGGGTATCATTGCACACCTAATATATATATATATATATCTTGTGTATTTCCTACCTGAACCTGCTGAGGACCACAGCTGACGGCCACGATCTCCTTCACAAGCTTCTTCTCCTTGAGTCTGACGGCCTCCTCCACTGCGATCTCACAGAAGGGGTTCATCGAATGCTTGACGCCATCTGTAACCACTCCTGTGTGGTCCGGCTTGACCCGGATCTGAGGGGGACAGAGACACACACAGAGGAGTAATCACACAAAAAAAACACAAAGTTTCATAGGACTTTCATTCCAAACTGAACTTTTATCTCAGTCAGCTCATTATTTATAACAGCAATACTGGATCAAGACGGTGAGAACTGAACATCACCATCCAGAACGGCTACATACATAAATGAACTAAATTAATAACTTTACTACAAAATCGAAACATCACTGAACTTCCTTAACCTGGACTGTGATGCTATTTTCTTTTGGAAACAAACTTTGTTGCATTATTTTCCTGTTATCTCAGTATTCAAACAATCTGTATTGTAAAAAGCGCCGTAAAAACAATTTTAATAGTTGTACTCAATAGATTTGAGCTTAACTGGAGGTTGTCCGTGTTTGACCCCAGATGACCTGTGCACATACTATTCCAAGAGTGGCATGAAGGACACAGAGACTGATACAACAGAGGCTGTTTCATAACACACAACACACACTGATCGCTCTGTAACTCAAGCAGTAATGAGGACACATACTTTCAGATCAATATCCCTATCTCAGGTGTACTGCATCTGGATCATAACCAACCGGCTCAGATCAGACGTTTCAGGATCACAAATCACAACGAACACATTTACATTGAACATCCAGCTCTAGCTAACTGGAATCTGATTGGAAAAGATCACACAGGTTTGGGACATTTGACAATGTATTGGTAACAAGCCTGTTCAGACAAATCAATATGCATAGCAAGTTAGCAACTCATCTGTAATCTTACTTCTTGATAAAGGCCTAAACAGAAGGTCATAAGAACAAAGATTACAGACTAAATCAGAAAATGAGTATTCAGAGCTCAGTTTTGCACACTGGATGTATAACACATTTAAGCAAATATTGTAGATCTGCATATTACTATGTAAAAAAAAAATATTGCTAATAAAATAGGTAATGAATTGTTCACGTAATCTCAACCATGACACTTTTTTGTCAGTGATATTTTAATATTTTTAATATATTTTCTTATCAATTCTGTCTATTTTTTATACTACACACTGACCTTAAATGAGGAAGATGATGAATTCATAAGTCTGTTTAATAAAATGTCCCTTCTTCTGTATTTTAAACAAAAGTGTAATTATACAAATAACTTTGTATAGACAACTATAGACAACTGATGGAAAATAAAATGCCCCTTAATAGTTGACCCACATGTATTGACAATGGATATTAATAATATAAACTTTAACATTAAAACTGATTAAAAGTGAAAACACCATATATATAACTTTTATGTTAGATGCGATTAATTGATTTAACAGGAGTATAGGACTAATTATTATGTTACGCAACGTGCATGTTTATGAAACTACAGCTGGACAGTTGTTTACAGTAGAATATAGATCATTATTATGATCCCACGGCCATGATTGTAAGTAGTATCGTCAGATATTACTTAAAATAACAATATTAATAACGCTGACCTTCATCAAACAGCCCAGTTTATCAGCCCAGAGCTACCCTCATTCAACAGAGCAGCTGGCCTACACTCAGCTCTTTTCCGTGCCGTAAACTGTCCAAGGCAGGACTACACCACGTTTATTCATAATTAAAAGCATCTGATATGTACCTTGACAGCATAATCAATGACCCGTTTAACTCCGACCAGAACTCGGGCGCTCATCGTGGACCTTCCTCTGTTCGACGCCGGGCATAGGTGAACTTCAGCAGAAGGATCTAGCCGGAGCGCTTGTTCTGTGACACCAATAGGGGCGGGGTTTAGCGTACGCCCGTTCTGTGAGCCAATAGAACTGCTCAGATCTGGGAGCTGTCAATCAAAAGCTGAGCTGTGGCCAATCAGCGCCAATCAGTAACTTTGGGTGTTCTTGCACTCGAGCTGAAACGGACTTAAAATTGGTTCCATTCATAAGTAGGTTAAAGGTCGTGTGACTGACTGTTGTAACTAAACGCAGCGATAACAGCATATCTAGACCTCACTCAAAATTAAACGAAATTATTACAATAAGTGGTGAGAAAAACGTAGTTTTATAAGACTTAGAAATTGAATATATTGGGAAAAAGATTCACTGAAGCGCTCGAAAGGAGGACATCTGGTGGTCACAGTGAAAAGCCTTCAGTCCTAATGAACCAGTGCTCTTATTTTGTATGTAAAACGAATTTTTGTGTAATAATATTTTGACTGTAGGTAGGTTTAATTGAACACAAATATAGATTTCCTAAAGTTGCTCCGAGTTCTGTTCATTTAACTTGGAAACATGAAACGTTACTATTTTACTGTTTTTGAAAAAAGTCTCTTCAGCTTATCAAACCTGCATTATCATTTGATCAAAAATACAGAAATAAATGTTTAAAAAATGATTATATAAATATTATTACAATGTAGCTGTTTTCAATGTAAATATATAGTAAATTGCAATTTATGGAATCATAAATTGATCTTAAAATTGAAAACGGAATTTCCCAGTCTTTAGTATCACATGATCCTTCAGAAATCAATCAAATATGATGATTTATTATCAATGTTGGAAAGAGTTGTGGTGCTTAATATATATAAAAAAAAAACATGTAATACTTTTTTTTAGGACTCTTTGATGAATAAAAAGCAACAAGATAGCAAGACAGCATTTATTTAGAATATACTGTTACAAAGTTTGGGGTCAGGAATTCATTTCTTACTTTATTTGAAAGAAATGAATACTTTTATTTAGAAAGGATGTGTTGATTAAAATGGATTGTAAAGTTTTATATTGTTTTCTGTTTTGAATAAATCCTGTTTTAAATTTTTATTGATGAATCCTGAAAAAGTATCACAGGTTCCAAACAAATGTTAAGCAGCACAGGCTAGCTATTACCAACATTGATAATAAATCAGCATTTGATAATGATTTCTGAAGGATTTCTTCACTGAAGACTGGAGTAATGATGCTGAAAACAATATATTCAGTTATTTTAATTTGTAATAATTTTTCGCAATATTATTATTTTTTTGTATTTTGATCAAATAAATATAAAATAAAACATAAAAAATTTAATTAAAACACAATGTATTAAATGTATTTTAAACGTTTACATTTATGTATTTCTTTAAATATAATATCTTATTCCAGTTGGTGGCAGTACTGCTGCCGTTGAGCCTCAGAAGAAGAAGCAGAATCTCACATGACTTCAGTGTTTGTTCCCGTGATCCTGATCAGTGTGAGTGTGTGTGAGAGTCAGAGCACTGATGGATCAGCTGCAGCTCAACACACACTCTTCACACAGGTAATGCGTCACACACTCTCTGTACACAGCTCAGATACACAAATGGGCCATGCATATAGTACAGTCTGTGAAGACAATGATTGAAGAACATATATTTTAATAATGCAATTTGATGCATTAGACTATTCTATGCTGGTCCTCTAAATTGTTTTGTATTTTATATGTAGAGACCAACAACTGAGAGGTAAAAAAAGAAAAAAGTTGATGAATGTAGGGTCATATTGTACTTTTATGCGTCACAGAAACAAGTTTATCTGCAGTTACAAAAATCAAGTCACGAAGGTTGCACAAACAGCTGAAGGTATGTCTGTTATTAACTTGGTTTGGTCACATGATGATGCTTTTTCTGAGACATTTGTTTGTTATAGTTCTCTCCTTTCTCTCTGATGTTCTACTTAATTCCCAATATATTTGCTTTAGTTCTGGGTTTGGGCGAGTTTAGCATTGTTTCAGCAGCATGATGTGCTATAATTCATCTTGAACACTTTATTCTTTATTATACATGTTGCATGCATTATATTTCATGTTAATTGAGAGACTTTTAGATTACTTGTAAGTACTATTGTTTTATTAAATATAAACTCAAATTATTTTGATGCTAATCCACACGTTTCATGTGTGCAGGTTTGGCAGTGTCTGGTGGTCCTCGTGCTTTAGCTCATGTGGATGGAAATGTTCACTATCAGTTTCACACAGAAAATCCTGGAGGACAGGTGAGCGTCCATCTTTATTAGAGTCAAGATTAAACCGACGTCAATGCCAAAGTCTGATATACAGTAGATGTCATTTTTGTCCCTCTTAATGGGAACCTCATAAACTCGGCCAAGTATCTGTGTGGTTTTACCTCAAAATGACTGAAAATTATATTTCAGAAATGAAGGATGAGTTATTTGTTACATATTTTTTCATTATTTTTAATGCAAAGAGAAAATGGGGGCATTTTATTAAAATGGTATAGTTATGCATTATGGTAAAATTGAATTAATGCTTATTAAACAATATTAAAAGTACTGAATACAATACAGAATATTCCCCCCTCTAATATAATAAGAGCAACCGCTGGGAATAATGAGAATATAGAGTAAAAATGTACATAAATGACCATTGAAAATAGTTTTATTTTATTTTTCATTGCCAAGTCCATCTGTGTTTACATCAAAATGCCCACAAATTATATTTCAGAGGATGAAGAATTAATGCAAAAAGGGGGATTTTATTAAAATTGTATAGCTATAGCCTACATTATGATGATTAAACAATATTAAAAATTCTGAATAAAAAACATTTTATTAAAGTATTTCCCCCCTTCTAATAATGAGAATAATAGGAATATTACAATAATGAGAATTTATGGTAAAATGTACATTAAAAATAGCTTTATTTTCTTTATGCGTGTCGTTTTCTTGAGTTTTACCTATTTGCACCGGCAGTCATGTGATTGTAATCTCTCGCTGGGATTGGCACTGGGCCTGTGTCACATGTCAGTCAGAAGGCTGGTCACATGACAGATGATTAATGTTAAGGGGTATTTACAAATGTGTATTCTTTCAGTGAACAACTGTGTCGTTTTAGACCTTTAAATTAGATCATGCACAGCTCTCTGCATCGACTGGAGGGATGATTATTAAATGGATGAATAGAGAATTCAGCCAGGAGACGCTGGAAACCAACACTTTATAGTTAATCATGACATTTGCATTTTAGTGCAGGGAGCATTTATCATGGCCATCATTTGTAGTTTTAACGCTTGTTCTTTACGGTTTGACAGCGTTCATAAAATTCAGATGTAAGGGGGTATTTACTAAATCACACGAGGCCCCCGGATAATACTAATCCGGTGCGAATAGGGCTATTGGAAGACTAAAAACATCATGGAAATGGTGCTAAAAATACTCTATACATCCACTGAAAAAAGGCATATTAGGATAATATAAAAAAAAAAAACTATATTATAATCAACCCTAGTAATGAAAGTCTCTGGCTGTGTTCAAATCACACATTTGCTACTTTGTGAGCACTAAAAAAAGTCCTGGAATTGATTTTTACAGTATCTGTATGAACCCTGTATTTGATTTATATCTCAGGTGACGTACCGAGTGACTCCTGTCTCAGATCAAATACTGGAGGGTAGAAGAGAAGTCGGAGAGCCGGTTAACGTCACCGGATCCCTGCAGGTACTGTATGAAACCAGCTCGTACTTCATTATGGTTTCGTAACATGATAAACATGACAGCAGAACATTGTTGCTCAAGGAGTAGAGCATTGGCGCTTGCAACTCCAAGATCATGGGTTCGATTCCTAGGGAAAGCAAGAACTGATAAGAATGTTATAGTGTACCTTGAAATGCAATGTAAGTCGCTTTGGATAAAAGCGTCTACCAAATGCACAAATGTTAAAGGAGTAGTTCACTTAAAAAAAAAAAAAACTTTTGCTGATAATTTACTCACCCCCGTGTCATCCAAGATGTCCATGTCTTTCTTTCTTCAGTCGAAAAGAAATGAAGGTTTTTGATGAAAACTTTCCAGGATTTTTCTCCATATAATGGACTTCAATGGGGTCCAAACGGTTTCAGTGCAGCTTTAAACGACACCAGACGATGAATAAGGGTCTTATCTAGCGAAACGAGTGGCCATTTCATAAATAAATAAAAAAGTTTTAAGTTTTATAAACACAAATGCTCGCCTTGCTCGTTTAAAGCCCTTTGAAGCTGCACTGAAACCGTTTGGTTCCCATTGAAGTCCATTATATGGAGAAAAATCCTGGAATGTTTTCATCAAAAACATTCATTTCTTTTCGACTGAAGAAAGAAAGACATGGACATCTTGGATGACATGGGGGTGAGTAAATTATCAGCAAACTTATTTTTTATTTTTGTAAAAGTGAACTACTCCTTTAATGTTAAGATATTACACAAACTCAGCTATAACCAGATGTTCAAGTGTATGCATTGTTTTCTCCCAGACAGTAATTCAACACTCCTTCAGTAATGGAGGCGGTCCTGATGGGCAAGGTGACCGAGAGGAGGCACGATGTGTGTGTTTCCCAGCATCACCTGTGAGCGAGGGAACAGCAACCGAACCCACATTCACACAAACGACAGGTACGGACAAGTTTGAGATCCTGCCGCCTCACACACGTACAGAATCACAACACACTTCAATAGATCGTTACAGTCATTCACTTCAGTTAGAGGAGGAATATATACATATATACATATATATATACATTTTAAAATATTTATAATGCAATTATTCATGGACATACATATATTATATTTGACTTTAGTATGTGCATCGTTACAACATCTGTCGTCTCTGTGGTTCAGGTCAGTTCTACGTGATGATGACTCCTTCAGACGCTCTGCTTTCGGCCTCTCAGCGGACTATAGCTCCACGCACACACACTCACACTGTGTAAGTACAAAAAAAAAAAGGCACAAAACGGGTGTTATGTTTTTAATAGGGCTGGGCAACGATTAATCGTGATTAATCGCATCCAAAATAAAAGTTTGGATATAGTTACGAAATATATTGTATATAGTTAAGTATATACACTACGGAAGCCCTGAACCGCAACCTAAAAAAAAAAAAGTCAGTAAAAAAAAAAAAAAAAATCTGTAAAAAAAAAATCTGTAAAAAAAAAAAAAAAAAAATCTAGCATTTCGAGATTAAAGTCGGAATGTTTCGAGATTAAAGTCGAAACGTGCATTCATAACAGCACGCGCGTGTGTGTGTGAAGTCGAACTACCATGGATAAACACAAAATAGTAGCTTTTTACTTTTATCTGGGCTTTCAACAAAATTCTACACACGCGCTAGATGCAGTGTTTCTGAGGTGTTTTCGTGCTCGTCTAGTCAACACTATCTGGGTCGAGAACAAAACAGTAACTGTTCGGTCTCCCCTTCACCGTAAATACGCTCTGGATACATTTTAAGTGCATCGTTATGTATCCAATCATTGGCCGGATCCTGTGATTTCCTAAGATTTAATGACCACTTGTGGTTGAGGAGAGATTCTCTGATATGATTGTAAAGCACTTTGAGTGTAGGCATATATGAAAGCGCTATATAAATGCCCTATTCATTCATTCATTCATTCATAAAGCTGGATTTCTCCATCCAGTCTGAAAAGTGTTTTCCGTGTTGGTTTTCCCATAACTATATTTTACAACATCCTATAATGGCATCCTATTCTGGTAAATTGGCACCTGTTGAATTTCCTTTGATGAAACAAAACACACACACACACACACAGACAGTGTGAAACTCGCTATTGGCCATTATGAATGCCTGTGTGTGCAGCAATGTGAGACAATGGCAAGCACACACGTGCAGCTTCTACCGAAGACTGTATTCTCGTACTCTCGTCTCTCGAAATGTTTCGACTTTAATCTCGAAATGCTATTTTTTTTTTTTTACAGATTTTTTTTTTTACAGATTTTTTTTTTTTAGGTTGCGGTTCAGGGCTTCCGTAATACACACATATTGTATATAGTTAAGAAATATTTGCATGTATATACTGTATTATACATAATGTATATTATATATAAATAACTAGGGATGGGCAACGATTAATCGCATCCAAAATAAAAGTATGTGTTTACATAATATATGTGTGTGTAGTGTGTATAATTAATTTGTATATATAAATACCCACACATGCATGTATATATTTAAGAAAAATGTGTTATTAATATATCAAATAGTTATATTTATTTATAATATTAATTATGTATAAATATATATAAAGTATATACATGCAAATATTTCTTAAATATATACATTCATGTGTGTGTATTTATATATACAAATGAATTATACACACTACAGTACACACACATATATTATGTAAACATAAACTTTTATTTTGGATGCGATTAATCGCGGTTAATGGTTGCCCATCCCTATAAATAACACATTATTCTTAAATATATGCATGCATGTGTGTGTATTTATATATACAAAAATATATATACACACACATAAATATTTGCATGTATATATACTGTATATATATTAATAAATAATTTATATTATATATAAATATAAATATTTGATATATAAATAACACATTTTTCTTAAATATATGCATGCATGCATATATATATATATGAAGAGTTCAGATGCAAAAGCCTCTAAGTGCCATTTGAAATTTTCTTCTAGAATGATCATTTTTATCAAGCTTGTATATTTAAGTTCAGTTATTTCACTTAAATGGCAATAAAGATTACCTATTAATTGTCATTTAAGTGAAATTACTGAACTTAAATATACAAGCTTGATAAAAATGGTCATTTTAGAAGAAAATTTCAAATGGCATTTAGAGGCTTTTGCATCTGAACTCTTCATATATACACATATTATGTAAACACATTTTTATTTTGGATGTGACAGCCGTGGTTTTTAAGCCTATTTTTAAGATCTATATCTTAGTGTCACTTTACCACAGAAGATCGTCCTCCAGTCCAGTCTACACAAATCTAGCGTTTACAGCCACTGACAGCAAGCTACAGGTGTTGTCCATTAACTCTCATTGGTATTGAATGGGACGTATTTACACATGGGGTCTGTCTTTACCCAGGAGTGATTGTCTGCAGGCTCTGTGTCACACTTTTGCATGTTCCTTGCTCTCCATTTATCCTCGGGATCCCGCTCCATATGAAAAGGGATGTTTGTCACGATTCTGGTGTTTGATGGGATCATGTGCTCAGATTCAGTCATAATTCATGGGAGATTGTGGTTTGTTGTGCTTCTTGTGAAGGTGCTCTGCACAAGCAGAAGTGTTCACGTGTTTGTGCGTTTGCAACATCCTCATCCTCCAGAATAGCCTCAGTAGAAATATCACGCGTTTGTTTCAGTCATTCCTGTTTGATTATTTCCTTCTTTTGGACACGCACAGCTTTTGTGAAATCTGCAGCGTAATGAATTCTACAAGAGTCCTAATCTTTCTTTCTTCCATTAGAATTTTAAATCCCTCGGGTTATTATTTCCTGGGATAAAAGCACCTTTAGTCAGAGAGTGTGTGGGTTGCATGCAGAATGAAATGCTGATCACACAGAACCAGTGTTTTTTTTTTTAGTATTATTTATATACTATTATAGTATTTACTAGTAAATTAGTTTTAGCTGTGTACTTTTTATTAGTTTTCATCATCAAATTTTGTGCAAAATGTCTTGTGTATTTGAAGTGTGGTCAAAAATGATGCATATCCCATATTTAAGCAAATGTAGTGTTATTTTGCTCTTCCAACAATGTTCCTATTATATGCACAGTATAATTACTAGAGCCCGATCGATAAAGGATTTTGAAGGCCGATACCGATACAAATATTTTTGGGTTTTAAAATCCGATATATCGGCCGATATTTTTTTATTAAATATTGTTGGATTTCACACGCGTGTAAAAGAAACACTAACTTTTCTGCACAAGATACGTTTGATACTTTTTCTCTATGTCTAAATGTTCACTCCTCGCAAGTATAACTTACATTTTACAATACAGGGACTGTAACTAGAGATATGCTAGTTATAAATACAGTAATCATTACTTTATTTAGGCAGAAAACCTTCATTGTGGTTTCCAAGCTCATTAATGTTAACGTTAGCGGTCTATAGTGGCATTAGCTTGCTTTGTCTATGATGAGCCATAATTTAGCAATAGATAACATCATACTGCAAAATGTAAAACATACATTTTCAATATAACAGGCCAAGGAGAGATGATTGAAGCGTGTTTCGTCCATTTTTATTTTATAATTTAAATATTCATTTATCGGCCATTATAACTGGCGATACCGATATTATGGAAAATGCCTAACATCGGCCGATATATCGGTCTGGCTCTAATAATTACTACATATATTGTAGGTTGTATGCTGTTCCAGTATATTTCTTGTAATATTTGTCTGTTTTTGTGAACGTATCAGTCAGCAAAAGATAGTAACGATCCAATTAAACTGTTTCTGTAATGCTCCATCTACCTTTAAGCTGAAATTAAGTGTTTTTTAAAATAAATGTGCCCCTTTTCTGCAGAGATGAACTCAACACACAACAGCATGAAGGTTTTAACTGGTGAGAAAAAACCTTTACATCCCTTTAAGCCACAATAAACCCAAAACCGTCTCTTAAAGGTATAGAGTCTCATTTCTATTCCACATAATCAACACCAAATGTGAGTAAAAATGGACTTTGTTGAGTAAAATGCAGTATATGGACAAAAGTATTGTAATAAACCTCTTGATTATTGAATTCAGGTGTTTCAATCAGAGTGGGATTGAATGAGTATTTAAAGGGATAGTTCACTTTGAAATTCATTTTTGGTATGTTTTATCTTACCTCAAGGGCATCCAAGATGTAGGTGTCTTTGTTTCCACAGTAGTTTAAATTTTGATATTTTTAGGTCAAACCGTTCGTGTCTGTCAGTCATATAATGGAGGTCTATGGTCACCACCTCAAAGAGCATGCACAGACAAGTCCAAATTAAACATGATTTAATGACTCGTAAACGCAAGTACTCGTAAATGGCCCAAGACATGAAACGAGCGGTTTGTGTGAGAAAACGAACAGTATTTATATAATTTTTACCTCTTGTAACCACAGCCACATCCAAGTGATCTGAGGCCGCGGGTGCTTTGTGGCTGATATAAACGATGTAAATACTGTTCGTTTTCTCACACAAACCGCTCGTTTTGTGTCTTAGGCCATTTACGAGTCATTAAATCATGTTTAATTTGGACTTCTCTGTGCATGCTCTTTGAGGTGGTGACCATAGACCTCCATTATATGACTGACAGACAAGAACGGTTTGACCTAAAAATATCAAAATTGAAAATGCTGTGGAAACAAAGACACCTACATCTTGGTAAACATATCAAAAATTAATTTCAAAGTGAACTATCCCTGTAAGTTGACCAGTGCTATGTTGCTTTAGTTTAACATACTGAGGTCACTTCCCCTCATATAGTGCTAGATATAGAGAGATTTCCTGAAGAGTAAATAAACTTTTTGCTGGTTTGCATTAGAAAGTGTCTCGCTTCCTTTATGGCGTTTTGTGCGATGCTGTGGAGTCGTGACTTCATTAAAGCGTATACCTGAGGGAAGATTACACTCGGGGAACAGTTGTGTCATTAGGCTAGAGTCGGGCTTCGGCAGCTGTTTCAGCACTGCAATTTATAACGTAATGAACACAGCCGATGCGAGACTCCCCCGAGATCACACACACACACACTCGAAGGGCAGAGAGACCTTACGGAGGGATCTAACACCAGCTGTAACCTTACATAGCTGAGAGTAAGCTTGTCGTACTAGAGCCGTCTTTAGGCTGATGAGACTGTGCTTTAGGGGTCCGAGAGAACAGGCCCCGCCTCCTCTAACTCACACTAGAGCTGTGACGAAAGCAGCATGTCCAAATTCACAGTACAGGCAATAAATCCCTGGATGACCTTCTACTTCCAGCGAGATTCTGGTGTGCATATAATACTAGCATAGATATCCATAATAAAGGCTAGAGTTCTTACGGCGGAGTCTCACTGGCGGCCATCTTGTCACAGGCAAGCTCTCTGGTGGGCTCGGATGTAAGATATGATCAGATATTATCAAGATATGATAATGATCAGCACGAACACAAATACTCTTATCTCGTTGAAATCTTGACGGATTTACAAACGGTTTGTTTTTTTACACGTGGCTATAATTCTGGATGATTATTTATTCATACACTTATTATTCATAACTACATCTGTAACGTTTATAATAAACCAAACCGGTTGAAAATTGAGCCAGTTATGGTTATTTAAAAAGTACAAGCACCATTAAAACACAATATTATGAGTGAGCGAGCTGACTGTGGCAAGATGGCCGCCAGCGTGGACGTCGAATTCCATTGGCCAGCAGCGCGGATGAGACATCTAGCCTTTATTATGGATATCTATGCTATATAGAATATACTTAGGACCCAAGCAATCTGATTGGTTCAAATAGAGAATGTCTAATATGGGCGGGCTTTGATTCAAAGCAATTTTTTATGGGTAATCGCTTTAGTGCCTGATTACAAAACAGATATACATTTATTATATATTGATCTACGTTATAACAACCATTAATGTCTTTTAACTTATGTTTTATATACTATGTATATAACCAAAGCTATAGATTGTGATATGAAACATTTCTTGTTCTTTTTTATTATTATTATTAGTTAGATATAGCTTAGATAGTAGCTTAGCATACAGATATCCGAAATCATTAGAGGTAAAGTTTATATATATATTAGGGCTGTGCAAAAATTAATTGCGATTAATCGCATCCAAAATAAAAGTGTGTGTTTACATAATATATTTGTGTGTGCTGTTTATAATTATTTTGTATATATAAATACACACACATGCATGTATATATTTAAGAATTATTTGCACTTAAATTCTGTATATATATTTATATATATATATATACACATAATCTATATTATATAAATATAAATATTTTATAGAATAACATATTTTCTTAAATATATACATGCATGTGTGTGTATTTATATATACAAAATAATTATATACAGCACACACAAATATATTATGTAAACACAGACTTTTATTTTGGATGCGATTAATCGCAATTAATTTTTGCACAGCCCTAATATATATATATATATAATGTATGTATTTTTTCATTTGCATTTATTTAAAAACACACACATACAGAATGCATGTATGTTTAAATAAATGCAAATTAAAAAAAAAATACTTATATACATACACACACACATATATAAAGATATAGTGATTTAGCCATGTAACTGTAAGCCTTTTAAAACGCCTTCATTGAGATACTAAGGTGAATAAATATGTGAAATATTGCCGTGATTTCCCTCCATTATTACCGTAGGCACATGGACAGTCCGCGCACCCCTAGGGATGAGAGGAGAAGAGCACAACATAATGAAGGTCAGTGAATTCTCTTCATCTAATATGAGTCTTTACTCAAACCAAAGCAAAGCAACAGACTGCTAATCCTGTTCCCATCCCAAAGATCCTGACAGGAGCTCTGCCTGCAGATGGCAGTAGAGGGTTGATGGACTCCACACGTACTGCAGTTTTAGACAGTATGGCCTAGATTTTGCCTCTGATCTCCTTCTTGCTGTTGACTTGCAGTTGAAAGGCGACGGCGAGACAAAATCAACAACTGGATTGTGACGCTCTCGAAAATGATCCCAGACTGTGGTATAGATGGTGCCAAGACTGCAGCGGTGAGTTCCTAAAATGAAAATCTGACCTCATTATTGACCTGTGATGCACAATAGATGCCTAGAAACTGAATCCCACACGTTTTATTTGCTCCTCAGAGTAAAGGTGGGATCCTGTCGAAGGCGTGCGATTACATCGGTGAGCTGAAGCAACATAAGCGGAGGCTTCAGGAGAGTTTGAGAAGAGCAGAGAGAGTACAGATGGACAATGAGCTGCTCAGACAGCAGGTGCGCCGTTAACTTCATGTGTAGGGATCTCAGTTTGTCTGGAATCACGCTATTCCACAGGATATTGTCCAAGGATTGTGGATATTGTTGGGGCATTTTGTCCCCGTAACATAGGGTATACCTGAATCACACACACACACATTTTGGTCACTAATTAGCTTGATCACATACATTAACCAATTACTGGGCTGAACGCACTCAACAGCGCCAGAAGAGGGTGCTAAAACACATCGGTCCAATTAAACAGAGGTGTAATATCTTTCTTTTAGTCTGTTATTATTCTATATTTTCTTTTCTTTTTTATACTATTCTATTTTATTTGATTTATTCTATTCTATTTTATCTTTTATTTAATTCATTTTATCTTTTATTTTATTCTATTTTACTGTATTGTTATATTTTCCTTTATTCTATTCTATTTTTTTGTCTTTTCTTCTGTTCTATTTTCTTCCATTCTATTTTAAAATATGTTATTTATTTTATATTTAATATACAATTAATAATTATATAATTATAATTAAATAATTAATAAAATAATTTAATATTTTATTTTGTCTTTACTTTTCTTTTCTGTACTTTTATGCTTTTCTCTTTTCTATTTATTTTTTGTATTCTGTTATTTCTATTCTATTATATTCTATTTTATATTTTATTTATTTTATTTTCTTTATTATTAATTTTTTAGTTCATTCTATTCTCTTTTCTAGTATTTCATTTTTATTCTATTCTATTTTATATTTTATTTATTTTTTATTTTGTTCTATTCTCTTTTCTAGTATTTAATTTTTCTTCTATTCTATTTATTTTCTTTTTTTTTTCATTCAATTCTCTTTTCTAGTATTTAATTTTTCTTTTATTCTATTATTTTCTATTCTATTTTATATATTTTATTCTATTTTCTATTTTATTTAATTTTATTTGTTTCATTTTTTTATTTATTCCATTCAATTCTCTTTTCTAGTATTTAATTTTTCTTCTATTCTATTTTCTTTTTTATTTTATTTGTTTTATTTTTTATTTATTTCATTCTATTCTCTTTTCTAGTATGTCATTTCTATTCTATTCTATTCTATTCTGCCTTCCTGTAGCTCAAACAGTAGAGCATGGCACTAGCAACACCAAGGTCACGGGTTTCAGTGAATTGAAAAATAAAAGCACAGCTTCAATACAATAAGTCGCTTTTGAAAAAAAATGTCTAGCAAACGCATCAATGTGAACGTAAGTATTATACAAAACATTTGCCTCTTCATCTTCAGATTCAACACTCAACTTCTATGTTGTTGTTTTCAGCTGGAGGAGCTCAAGAGCGAGAACGGCCGTCTCCGAGCACAGCTGGAGCAGCACGGCATCCACATGTTCACGCAATGAGCCTCAGGCATTCTGGGAAAGAGATTCTGGCCCTTCAGGACTGAAGTGGGCCGAATGAAACATGTTGACTTCAAGAGTCAAGAGTCTCTCAGAGCTGTATGTCTGATACAGTGCAGCCATGCTTGCTGCAGTTGAGGTCAGAGGTCAAGAAGTCTTTAATTGCACTGACACCAGGATCCTATGAGCCTGAAAGCATCTATTTATTCATCCTGACTAACTCCGGACTAAACAGTGGAATACTTGTTGTTTTTTTTAGTTTTCTCTGCCTTATGAAACACCCCAGACATTTTCCTTTTGCTAATTTTCCAGCTTTGTTGCTTTCAATTTTGTCTCCATGCTTTTTCTTGAAGTATTAGTTGTTTGTTCAGTGCCTCGTTTAATTTAAAATCCTCCCGGAGAAAACTCTTCCTCTTTGTGTTCTTCTGGAAGGTCGTTACGGGATGAATGAAGCCGTGAAGAAATGTCATTAGCGGTTCCAGTGAAATTTAGTGTTAAAATCGGAAACAAAAGCACCTGCACGTACGAGTCCCTCAAAAAAATGAGCTCCGTCTGGGATTATTAGCTTCTTATCTCGGAAAGCATCAACTAATCTAAGAAGCAAATGAGAAAATATTCAAAAAGCTATTACGTAGAGAAATGCTGGACATCTCAGGACTGAACTTAACCTCCAAAATCCCTGATTAACATGATGGACCGCTACAAATAGCCACTTTGTTCTTCGTTTACTGATTTGTTTGTGTCATATTTATATATTTAAGCTCATTTTCTGTTATTTTTCTCCATGTCAAGACATTATTCCTCCATTAATCAAATCCAGGAAAATTGATTTGAAGCATTTAAAGGTTTCTTATTTGATTTAATACGTGACATTGAGGATTTGTAGTGAGTACACACTTGGTCTAGTCTTCCTGTAAATATGCTGTACAGTAGCTACAATTTGGAATATCATGATTTAATATTTTTACAGCGTTTTTGTCCGTTTTGGAGCTTGTGTTCCTGAAGAATCTTCAGTTCCCCTGTTGTGTTTCATTACTAGCTAAATCACAACATACGAGTTTGGAACGACAAGGGTGAGTTAATAACCAAAGGTTTTTATTTTTATTTGTGGATGAACTGCTACTTAGTTTAAAGTCTCCTACAACAGTGTTTCCAAAACTTTTTTTTTTTTGTCTAAATATTTTAGCCCCCTTCACATTTAATGATATTATCGCTCTTGTAAGCTTGCAGTAAAGATGACAAAATATGTTGTTTATAATCAAGTTTATGCACAAATAATAGTTGTGAGGCTTTATTTTTTACGTTTCATGGCGCTATAGCGAGCGATAATAAATTTGTGTTTATTAACAGAATAATGCGTCTTTCGGAAGAACATAGTAGCCGCAACTACTTCTCTCTGTGTAGCTACGTCTATTACGAGGTACTGGGCTACTCCGCAGCGGCGGCGATCCGAACCAGTGTAAAATAGTCCCAATGTAGGTGTACTAGTGGTTCAGGATAAGACACAAACACCGGAGGGATTCATGATGAACTCTCCCATTATATAAATTTTGAATAGAAAAAAAAGTTGAGGACTTTTATTTAATGCTCATTGCTTAAAACTTTTCAAAATATGGCGCGACCCCCCACAGAGCTCGCCGAGGCCCCCTTGTGGGCCACGACTGGCCGCGACCGCGCCTGTTGGGAACCGATGTCCTACAATAGATTTACACGCGTCCAAAGTAAATAAAAAAAAAAAAAACTTGAATTTTGTCAACAATCGTAGCATCAGCTCTTTCCTCCGTATCTATCAGAAACGGTTCGGTTTCTTCGGAGACTAACTTTATTTGTCAGGCACTTGTTCACAGCTTTACATCAGACATTCTCTGATTACATGAAGCATTTTTTTTAATTGCAAAAACACAGTACAAAAAAATAACAAAATATACATTACAATGTACAGACAAATGACATTAAAATAAATACAAAACAGTTTTGCCGGGGAAGATTACATGAAGCAGTGTTGACAGATGTACGATAATTATCGTAATTGTACGATAAATTTTGACCTCTGTACGATCAATAATGAAAAAAAAATCCCATAATATAAGATAATTTCCGAATTTTGTGATCGGAGGTCATTGTAATGATAGTGCTTACTCATTGATCTAGCTGCAGAGCCACAAAAGAGTCCTGGACTGGACCTGGCACCAGTGCCACAGGTGTGTGTGTGTGTGTGTGTGTGTGTTATTCTGTAGTGCAGCAGAATGTGGAGATGGAGAGATACTGTATATTTGACGTCTCTTTATTAACAGATGTTTACACGGAAACACACAAGATAGATCTGATTCCAAACACAGGCTACAACAACACTGCTAACTCTGAGAGATAACGTTAGTTCAGTGAGTCCAGATTCCCCAAACATCGTCATCACGTCATCACACGAGCCAGGTAACATTAGAAAAAGCATTATAACGGCACTTCACAGCGAATGAAGCAAATATAACTAAAATAACTCCACCGTATGATTACTGTGCAGGTAATATTAGACTGCAACGTTTGTTTAATGTGAACCAGTTCATTTTTGCTAGATAAATAAGGACTGTTACCTGATTGCGGCTTTATGATGATTATTTAGCCATAAATGTTGCTTTAAACGGCATTTAAATGCAGTGAATACCCTAGTGGCTTTACAGTTGACCAAAAAAAATAAACAGTGAAAAGTAATTGCCGCAATATTCTCGTAATTTGTCCTCAGAGAGTCCCCCTGCGTCACTTTCACAGTCACTTAATAAACTTTGTTTCAAAGTAATGGTCTGTGAAGGTCTCATAATTGACACTGGTATTAAGCATGTTTCATTGCAGCTAAGGTTATTTAAACATCTCCTTGAACTTCATTTGCTTTTTATGTGCGTTATAATTCGACGCATCAGCATCCTAACGATTTGCTCTTGTGAAGCTTGTCTAAACTTTGTGTAAGTGACTCTTGATGAGTTTACTTCTCTCATTTATGAACAGACAAGTCAAATGAACAATAAAATAATCTATTTATATCAGTTTCTACACTGTCAAATGATTGTTTGAATTGTAAATAAAAGATTATTGGAGCAACTTGTGGAAGAATTTAATTGAACATGTTACTTTCCGTTCCTTTGCAATTGTTTGTGAAATTCACATGAATAATTGGGTAACACTTTAATTGAAGGGGTGTGCATAAGATACTTGTATACTTTTTATGGCTAAAAGGGTTTTTTTAAATCTAAAATTTGTATCTTTCAACCAAACAAACGTTGTGAATTACTAATCACGCCATGTTTTCAAGTGATTCGTTTGTGAATCAATGAAACTGATTCACTGAACTCCCAGAAATGAAACAAACTCATTAGCCTAAAACACCTCATGTTCTGTATGTTTGGTTAATGAAAACCAGAGCAATTATTCACAATGTCGTTTAATTTCACATAACCAGCAAAATCATTGTGTAAGTAGTACTGTGAATATGCGATATCTCTATGGTTTTCCCAGGCTGCCGGATTGGCAAATCATTCCTGTATGCCTTCCTGAGATTGATGTATTGTCTCCAATATTTTAAACGTAGGCCGGTCTAATACAAATGACCTTAGAGATAATAGTTTCTAAGAGAAACCTCAGCTCACTCAATCTCTCTCAATTCATAACCGTCTCTATTGTGTCTTTAAATGAGGTTTGAGTCACAGCTGGGACGATTTTATCAGATTGTTCATGAAAACAGAGTGAACACTTGGCTAATATCTTTTCTTGTTTCAGACATCATTTATTCTAAACCATCTCGACGTCTCCAGAGATTCGTTATTCATTATAATTCTCCTCATCATTCATCATTGTTCACATCTTGGTTTGGGAAATGACCCTCAACTATCGGAGAACGGCACGAGACACGCAGGTATTCTGAATCCTATCAGTGTGAAAAACATAAAGCTGCTTTTCACTGATCAAGCGCCAGATGCTTCAACTATACACAGCATATAATCGTTTCATTTATGCGTGCATGTCTTGGATCTTCAATAGAGTGCAATCGTTTTTCTCCATGCCATAAGCATTGCAAATGAAGTCTCGTTCAACCCGGCCCCATGCTTTGCAATACATATTAAACACATTGCCTTTTATCATTGCCTCATCAATGACGTATTGTCAATAATTTTATGTTGCACCTTTACCTTTTTTTTCCCCCATTAAAATCAAAGGTTGCAATGCTGTGAATTATCTGGCAGGCTTCAGCACTTCTTCAGTGTGTGTGATGTTGCTGTTTGATAATAAAAAAGCTCTTAGTTATTCTCTATATCAGTGTTTCTGAACTCCTGAAACGCCTCCATTGTAGTCTTGAGTTTCAATATTCCTCATTTAAATAATTCATACGCAGAATAAAGGGGCGGGGCCTGGTTGAGTTAGTTAGTAGTGTGTTAAACTGGAGATTATGGAAAAGAGTAAGACTCGACCAATCACAACACGCTGCTCCGGCCGACCAATCAGAGCACAGTGTACTTTCAAAAGGAGGGGCTTGGAAGTAAACAGAGCGTTACTGACAGACTGGGAAGAGAGGATCTGCAACGATGGCTAGGACAGAGCTCAAAAAGGAAAATTATAATGGTATAACAGGGCCTCTTTAGTAGAATAAAGTGTGATCTTCATATCGTTTATTGGTCCTTTTGACGTTTTTTTGAGGTCATGACCTTGACTTCCCAGCCGGGCTCTTCCCTGTCTTGTGTTTTGGCACGTCTAGCAGTCGCCGGTCAGACGGGCGTCTGTGTGTCCCAGCTCTGTTTGAAGTGAATGATCTATGGACCCGTGTGGCATTAGGACATCACCGTCTCTGCCCTCCCTCTTATATGTGTGTGTGTGTGTGTATAGACATGTATATATTATGTCAAAAGATTTTTTTATGTTTTTGAATGATGTGTCTTCTGCTCACCAATGCTGCATTTATTTGATCAAAAACAGCAATATTGTGAAACATTATTTAAATTTAAAATAATTGTTTTATAATTGAATGTATTAAAATGTAATTTCTTCCTGTAATAGTCTATCTATCTACCCAGACAGCAAACTGACATTGAATCAACGTGGAAACGACGTCTCTCATGACATTGAAACAACGTTGATTTGCTCATCGAATTAACGTTGAACCAACGTCAGACGCGGCATTCTTCAAAGCTAAATGAAATCGAAAATTGGTTTGCTTTCATAACGTTGAAACAACGAGTTGATTTCAAGTTGATTTTCCGTTAGTTTTGAAAGAATGACGCATCTGACATTGGTTCAACGTTAATTCGATGAGCAAAACAATGTCATATCAACGTTGTTTCGATGTCATATTTCCACGTTGATTCAATGTCAGTTTGCTATCTGGGTATCTATCTATCTATCTATCTATCTATCTATCTATCTATCTATCTATCTATCTATCTATCTATCTATCTATCTATCCATCCATCCATCCATCCATCCATCCATCCATCCATCCATCCATCCATCCATCCATCCATCCATCCATCCATCCATCCATCCATCCATCCATCCATCCATCCATCCATCCATCCATCCATCCATCCATCCATCCATCCATCCATCCATCCATCCATCCATCCATCCATCCATATCTATCTATCTATCTATCTATCTATCTATCTATCTATCTATCTATCTATCTATCTATCTATCTATCTATCTATCTATCTATCTATCTATCTATCTATCTATCTATCTATCTATCTATCTATCTATCTATCTATCTATCTATCTATCTATCTATCTATCTATATCTGTCTCTGTCTGTCTATCTATCTGTCTGTCTATCTATCTATCTATCTATCTATCTATCTATCTATCTATCTATCTATCTATCTATCTATCTATCTATCTATCTATCTATCTATCTATCTATCTATCTATCTATCTATCTATCTATCTATCTATCTATCTGTCTGTCTGTCTGTCTGTCTGTCTGTCTGTCTGTCTGTCTATCTATCTGTCTATATATCTGTCTGTCTATCTATCTATCTATCTATCTATCTATCTATCTATCTGTCTGTCTGTCTGTCTGTCTGTCTGTCTGTCTGTCTGTCTGTCTGTCTGTCTGTCTGTGTAGTCGGATGTAAGACTCTAAGTAAGTCTTTATGTAATGCACAGGGAAATGATGTAGGATTTGAGCCTGTAAAAGTACCTTTAGTGCTTGAGATTACGGGTAACTCTGAAAAGCACACAAGAGCGATCTATTTCCCACCGAACAGAGACATGTGAGCGTTTAGTGGCTCGGCTCGCCTCACACCTCCCTGTATCTCGCTGTGTTCTCGCTGAAGGACTTCATTGTTGCATCTCAACGCTTCAGCATCCCCGATGTCAGAGCGCCAGTGAACCCGACTGCTCGCCGCCCGTCTCTTTTGTGTCGGCGATGGGTTTTACAGTGCTGCAATACTGCTTCAGCAGAAACCATTGTCTCCGCGGCTCTTTCCAGCGGTTTGGGGGTTTTGTGTGGGTGATTACAGGCAGGGAGCTTGTCGGTCTTATTTATTCATACAGGTTCATGCCTCTATTCCCCACTGCCTCTCATCCAGTCTTAGAGTTGAACACTTCTATTTTCTACAAAAGAGGTTGTGGCGTCTCACTTTACTGAGCAGACGAGTGATTTGCAACGGGAGGCGATGAGCTCAAGGGAACTGTAGGCAGAGCATCGAGTTCCTCTTCACTTTTTGTGAATTGTCATTATTGCAACAGCCGTTTCTTTGTCTTTTGCAAGAATAAACGAAAAGGTCAAATCTTTGTACCTTTTGTTCATTTAGGAGATGGAAATTAATTTTGATGCCTGTTGTTCATAAAAGAAGTGGAAACGCAGAAATATAAGGTCAGACGGGATGATAGAATGGGATGATAAAATATAAAATGGGAGGAAATCAGAGTGACGAGGAAAGGATGAAATAGCCTACCCACATTTGGTCATGCAAAATGACGTGCAAAATTTGACATTACATTTCTATTATTTCATAGATTAGGTCAGCCGGAATCGGGGACACTTTCCAAAACACCCGATGTACTCGTTACATCTTAAGAAGAATGGCATTTACACTATCTAATGTCGGTCTTTCCAATTATTCCGAGGTTTACTGAAGTCAGACGGATCTGGTGGACCTGCGCATCCACACGTCCACATCGCATCCCTCCATCAGCCCTGTGAAGGCCTCATGGACTCCTCTACACACTCGTCTCCAAACCGGCGTGATATTTTTGACTCCGACCTTCACCCAGATGGATCTGGATAAATATTGTGAATGTTCTGATCCAATCTGACTTCTGACCTGTAATGCTGCCTGAATCATAATCATGCACTGTTCGCTCGCGGCCAGAGGAGAACAAGGTTTTTTTTTTTCTCCATTCTGTCCCTGATGGAGTTCAGCTTCATTGCCGCTTTTGGCTTGCTTAGTTGGGGACATTTAATATTCAACAATAATTTTTAAATTTTTTTTATCACTGTCAAGCTGCTTTGATACAATCTGTATTGTGGAAAGCGCTATTTAAATAAAGACGACTTGACTTGACATTAGCAACAAAAGATACGGAAGGGTTTTTCTTTTATTCTGCTGTCCTCAAAAGCATTTTTGTTTATTTATTTACTTATTTATATTTATAATGTACATTTTTTATTATTATTTTTAACTTAATTATTTATTTAAATTTTGTGTTTTATTAATTTTATTTATTTATGTATTCTATTTGATTATGTTATTATTTATCTATTTTATTATTTCATATTTATTTGTATTTTTTCTTTTACTATGTATTTTATTATTTATCTAGTTATTATTTATTTTATTAATTATTTTAATATTTTTATTTAGTTATTCATTTATATTAATTTATTTATTTTGAGTATTGTTTTAACTTTATTTACCATTAGGATTTGTATGCTTTAATGAAAGAATTTTCCCTTTCTTTCCTTTCTTTGCATTTCACAACAGATGTGAAGCAACTTCACATTTATAATGTGATTATCTGACACATTTCATTTCCGATCAGCTTCTCTAACAGGAAATCTCGTGCCGTATGTCGGACAGAGGTCTTTAACTGCTCTTAGTTTGCTAGCAGTGATTGTACAGGGATTGGTTAGTAAAACTAAGGCAGGGTTTACAGCTACAGACACTGCTCTGGACTGGCCATTCACTATTACTTTCTGTCATGTCAGCATGCAATACAATAAAAGTGATGCGTGTCTAAGAACACCCTTCACACATGATCACTGTAACAAATGGCGTCCTTCGGCTTATGGCTTTATTTTGGAGCTTGATCATCAACATTGAAAGATGACTGGACTCCATTTCCCCATTAGCTGAACACACACTGTTCTCCAGTCAGTCAGTGTTGAAGGTCGAGAGCTCCACTCACCTCACCACAACACAGACTCATGTACCAAAAGAAATAAGAAGAACAGAAATGGTGTGGCCGTTCTGCATGACTTCATGTGCCCGCCACCTCTCTCTCTCTCTCTCTCTCTCTTTTTTTGGTTATATATTGACACATAAATTGAAAAAGCAAGCAAAGAAGCAAACAGCCACTGACAGCGACTGCGGTGTAGTAAAACTGACAGTGAAACGAATGTGACCCACAACAACTAGCACCCTAGTGAGATGATGCCTATCCAGGCGTCCATTGATGCATTTATTCAATATTTTATTATTTATTTTATTTTACTGTACTCGGTTCTATTCTATTGTTCTATTCTATTGCTTCTATTCTACTGCTCTGTTCTATTCCATTGTTCTGTTCTTTTCTATTCTATTCTATGATTCTATTCTATTGCTCTGATCTATTCTGTTTTATTCTGTTGTTCTTTTCTATCTATTCTAATGTTCTGTTCTATTCTATTGTTCTGTTCTTTTCTATTCTATTGTTCTATTCTATTCTATGATTCTATTCTATTGCTCTGATCTATTCTGTTTTATTCTGTTGTTCTTTTCTATCTATTCTAATGTTCTGTTCTATTCTATTGTTCTGTTCTTTTCTATTCTATTGTTCTATTCTATTCTATGGTTCTATTCTATTCTGTTTTATTCTTTTGTTCTATTCTACCTATTCTAATGTTCTGTTCTATTCCATTGTTCTGTTCTGTGAGAAGAAGGAAATTAATAAAGTTGAATAAAGTCGTTATTTTTTATTAAAAAAAATTTGCGCACAAAAGTGTTCTCGTCGCTTGATAAACTTAAGATTGAGCCACCGTAGTCACTCTGACTTTTTTTCACGATGTCTTTAATAACTTTTCTGGGCCGGCAAGTTTCAATCCCTTAAGAAGCTTATGGAGGAGTGATCCAGCTCTCAGATTTAATCAAAAATTTCTTAATTTGTGTTCTGAAGATGAACAAAAGTCTTACTGCGTTGAACAACATGAGGGTGAGTAATTACGGTCAGAGTTTACATTTTCGGGTGAACTATCCCTTTAAACCAACCAAACAATTGTATCTAGAAGACCAGACAAAACTGTAGTAGTAGTAGTAGTAGTAGTATACTTTATTATCCTCGAAAGGAAATTTGTTTTGGACTACATGGCTTTAGAAATGAACTGATCTTGACAAATAAAAATCAAGTGTCCAGTCCTCTCAACACTTAAGAAATGCCAGCAAACGTCGCCAGCCGTGCATCGCCACCGGAAGTAAACACCAGCAAACCCAACCGGTGACGCTCGTCACTCTGGCGGTTTTCTCTGCTGTCTAACGTCATGTTGAGTGTGTGTTTCCTTACAACAGGCTTTTTGGCTTCTGAAATTATTATTTTTTGTGTGAAGGCAAGATATTGATCGTCGTGTTTTGGTCATAAATCCTGTTTTTGGGAAAGCGTGCGTGAGTTCCTGACAGAGGCGCAGTGAGGATGAGCACAGGGTCATTGTCCCGGGACAGAGACGGGCCGTGGCGCCGGTCGCACTGGAGCCGGTGTGTGTTTGAGCAGAAGATCCCGCTGATAACACTGGCGTCGCTTCTCAACAAACACCAAACGTGTCCCTGTCCTCTTGAGAAAGAACACTCATCCAGTAATACAGCAGTCACAGCCATAGGTGACCACACACACCTTTTCATGACGCAAACTCTTCAAGTTTTGAAATCACTTTCATGGACGGATTCACGTGAATTAATCAAACTTACCAACGTAAAGCAGGACATATAGAAGTTTTTAGATTTTCCAGCAGAATATTTGTAGTGTATTGTTGGAATATAATATAATACATATACTTTTTTTTAAAGAATTACTATTTACATTTAAGAAAGAAAGTTTGAAAGTCGTCAACTAAATACAATAGCCTGAATAGACAGGAAAAAAATATTTATAATACATAATAGCTTAAATATAACACTATGAAATTAAATATATGCGAAGCAGTTTATTGCTACATCCAAATAAATATTTTAAAATTATAAATAACATTAAAAGCCAGTTTTAATCATATATATATATATATATATATATATATATGAGAGAGAGAGAGAAGAAAGGTTGAACTAACAAATGCAATTATTAAAGCCTATCTAGAAAATATTTTTTTTTTGTATTTGATTAATAGCATTTTTTTCTCAACCATTATTGGAGTATTAAAGATTTTCAGTTCAAATTTATCTGTATAGAGTTCTTCATAATAAACATTATCTTTACAAAAATGGTGCCATAAGCAGCCAGCATGTAAGTCCCACAAAACAGCACACATGCAAACTATATATATTTATATATACTGTAAATACATGTACATTGCAAGGAAGGAGAATTTGTTAATTTTGAAATACACCTTTTTTTTCTGTCTTTTAGATTTCTCATCAACAGAGCCCGTGATCTACTGCACAATATTATCAGGTATTTCATGCATACTGGAATCTTTCATACTGTGCATACATAGAAACAGAAAAACAATTTATCATCCACAAAGTCCATTACATAAAAACAATTATTATTCCTCAAAATGTGGCCTAGACTTGTCCTTTATTTAATGGAAATTTTGTCATTACTAAAATCATAAATGGCAAGACATGATTTGGTCCACATTTAAATTCTTCTGATGAGAAGAGAAGAGCAATAATTGAAATGATCATTGATTGTCAAAGAAAGGATTTACAAAGTTACAAAGAAAGAAAAACTGAATTTATCAAAGATAGAGTGTTTCACACAGTTTATGCTTACAGTAAGGTGTGTGTTTTCCAAACTCATGTAACGCAAGTCACTCTTTCAAAACCCGATCACATGCTTTCATGACAGTTATACACATCTCCGTCCACATAATCATTGTTTCAAACTCAAGATTATTGTAATATATAATGAGAACATTTGCTTTAATCACTGAAACAAAACAATATGATCTTTTAACAATCAGTTCATTCAACAGCAAACTATGCAAGACACATGTGCTGAAATAATGACCGGCTACCGTCGCCACATTAGAACATATACTATTACATCAACTTAATCCATAACGTTATATATCTAGTGTGTATTAAAAGGTGTGAAGTTATGAAACTGTAATGAGGATTTGATGCCATCTGTCTCCCTCTGATCAATCTGATGTTATGACTGACTCTATGTTCACAAATAGCAAATCTCTCTCTCACGCCAAACACACATACACACACATTTTGCACAAACTTTGAATATGGTGGTTATCATTAGGATAAATCACTTGTGTAAAAATAATTAATTTCAATTTCCAAATCCATATCAGAAACAAAAAGAAGTTCTATAGAAATTGTCTATAGAATCAATATCTATAGGTGCACTCTAAAAAAATGCTGGGTTCTTTTAACCCAAATTTGGGTCAAATATGGACAAACCCAATTGTTGGGTTAAAATGTAATTTAAACATTTAACCCAATGGCTGAGTTTGTCCATATTTGACCCAAAGATGGGTTAAAACAACCCAGCACGTTTTAGAGTGTGTAACCAAATGATTTATTTATTAACCATTAAGATCAACTGGATTAAATAACAACAGACAAATGTATTAAACTGAACAGGAAGAGTTTTAAGATGAAATTTGTGTTGTGAAAAGGTGAAAATTGAAATTATGCTGAAATGTAAAAAAAAAAAAAAAAAGTGATGATCTGTTGTGATATTAGTACTAAGAGTTTGGAAAATGTGTACTTTACTAGTAAAAATAGATATGTTATGTAAATATGTCCAGTATATTTAAGATTTTCTGTGATTTCTCAGCAGTGCTGATCAGAGTTTCCAGAGTTGGGCAAGAGCTGACGGAGAGAGTCGAGCAGGTCAAAGGTTTAGACCGACGCTCAATAAATAGCAGAGCGGTGCCTGTCATCACCACACCAGAGAATAAACCCAACAGAACAGAAACCCTCCTCCAGTCCTGAAGAGAAGATGAAGTGTGCACTCGTGGCTCTCGCTGTTGCAGTCGTCATCGCATGTGTGTGTGTCCTCCAGACCGGGGCCGTTCCCTTCACACAGGTGAGTCCACACGTCACCACAGGTCAATTAAATTCGAATCAATTCTTTAAATTCAATTCAATTCAATCAATTCTAATTACTCGAACCATTAGAATATCGTGCAAAAGTTCATTTATGTTAGTAATTCGACTTAAAAGGTGAAACTAATATATTATATAGACTCATTACATGCAAAGTGAGATATGTCAAGCCTTTATTTGTTATAATTGTGATTCTTAGAACTTATGAAAACCCCAAAATCAAAATTAGAATATTGTGAAAAGGTTTTCATATTTGTAAACTATTATAACAAATAAAGGCTTGAAATATCTCACTTTGCATGTAATGAGTCTATATAATATATTAGTTTCACCTTTTAAGCTAAATTAATGAAATAAATTAACTTTTGCACCACATTAAAATTCGAGTGTTCAATGCATTATGCAGTTTATGCATGCTTTATTAAAAGTGTTACCAGTTTTGCATGACATATCTCTTGGAACATTTGAAATAAAATCATGTAACTTTGATTCATATAGTATCAAATGCGATTTGATGAACATTATATAAGATGCCTGTTTTAAAGTCTTCACTTGTGTCTGATCAGCAGGTGCAGGATGAGCCTCACGTGGAGAGAGAAACACCACAGGAGAACCAGCTCTGGACCGAAGCTGCGCAGGAACACACAAACCCACTGGTGTGTACGCTGATATATAATGCAATGTGTGTGTGTGTGTATAATGTAATGTGTTGGTCATTCCAAAAAAAAAAAAACACACAAACGTTCTTATTTTATTACATTGCTTGCTTTTAGTTAGGTCCACACACACACACACATATTCCTCAAAAAAAATAAAAAAAATAAAAATAAAGACTTACTATGATTAATAATTAATTGACTTTATTAGTTCAATTTTATTTTTTAGTTTTTTTGTTGTTATATTGCTTAAACTGTTTTTATTTCTACATATTGCATGTTTTTAGTTGTGCCCTAAATAAATATATTTATTTTCCCCCCATAGGCCTTGTTCAGGACTAAACGCCAGAGTCACCTGTCCCTGTGCCGATACTGCTGTAACTGCTGTCGCAACAAAGGCTGTGGATATTGCTGTAAATTCTGATCGTTTGACGGAGTCCCGTGCGCTTGGGAAAAGAGTTTCTTTGAAATATTAACTTATTTTGTCTTCAAAATCCCTCCTGAAATGACTCCCCCTGTCGCACATGTTGTTTAATACGGGTATAAATGCAGGCTGTCTCCACACACACACACACACACTGCTCTGTGACGCTACTGACAACAAACAGACAAGAGGAGGACTCACCTGCTGTTTTTGAATGCTGTTATGATTTTATATATTTTATACATGTATATATATATATTTTAGGCCTGTGTACATAGACATGTTACACCAATGATTGTTTAGTATAATGTGAAAACATTTTTAATAAAATGATTTTTAAACATTGATTTGTTTTGTTGCTTCGGGCTGTCAGTGGTGAAACTCTAGGGGGCGCTAAACACTGAAACACACACACACACACAGAGATCTATCATTGTTGTATAGGCCTTATTCAGACAGAGCAGCGCCATGTCAGGTATGAAAGTGAGGCTGTGAGGAATAGACTTACTGTGTTTCCAATAGGCATCAGCTGTAAAAAGATTAATAAAGCGGCTAGATTACTTACAATTTTCCACAGCTTACATTGTCGGGATTTTTTTGTCAACTGACATTTCTTGAAAAGATATTTTTCCAGTGTTTCATGAGCTGAACAATCCGAAAAACACATTAAATAACAATACAGCCCATTGAAGAGATGCAAGTCTATCCCTCACAGCCTCGCTTTCTTTCTCATTAAAAATCAAAGATGGCGCTGCCGTGAATAAGGCGTATTAATGCACCTCAGAGACTGCAACTCCTGCATCATACAAATATCAATTCTACAGATTCTGCTCACTATTGATTGAGTTTGGCATTAGCTTGCTTCTTTAAGCAAACAACAAGATACTGTAGTGAGTATTGAAAATACACAACACACACACATTAGTTTCACAGGCTATATTAGTGAGGACATTGCATAGACTTCCATTGATTTTACATCAGGTTAAAGCAAACCTTGGTTGACATAAATAAGAAAATTTTGGCCATCACACCCACCCAAAGTAGGTCATCCTGGTATTTTTGCTACTCTCTTGTGAATTCAGACTTAGTTTTCTTGTCACATACTGTTTTTTTGCCTAACTTACAGTACCTAGGCTACTCTATATATAGTAGGCATGTATGCGATTAACACTCATTCCATGGGCTTCTCTCTGCTGGTTCGTAAAATGCTGTTATGTTTCTTAAGTGGCCTCTCAACACTCAATAGCTTTTTCATCATGCATTTTATATAATTTATACTGAACTCAACAGTGTTGTTCAATATTCTTGAGATCCCTAAGCAGAATGGATGAAGACTTTAATCAAGGCAAACCACCAACGCAAACACACGCCTGACTCTTCGTTGTGTGGATCGCGCAGGCAGCACCTGGACTCGTTCGTTTTAATTAGTCTCTCTCTCTCTCTCTCTCTCTCTCTCTCTCTCTCTCTCTCTCTCTCTCTCTCTCTCTCTCTCTCTCTCTCTCTCTCTCTCTCTCTCTCTCTCTCTCTCTCTCTCCGTCCAACTGTTGAGGCGCTGTTGGATTTGGAGAGATTCATTTTATTGTTGTTATGATTTTGTCGTAGGAACATTATTCAGAATGTTTTAAAAATGTGCAAGCTTTTCATTGAAGAATATAAGACTGAATTTCACATGAAAACTCACATGCACAGTGATGAAAACAACATATATGTTCTCTTGTGTTGTGAGCCTGCGTATTCAGATGTACTATGAAACTGTTTTCAGCATTGATAATAATCATAAATGTTTCTGATCATATTAGAGTGATTTCTGAAGGATCATGCGGAACTGAAGACTGGAGTAATGATGCTGAAAATTCAGATTTGATCGCAGAAATAAATTATATTTTAAAATATATTCACGTAGAAAGCCGTTCTTTTAAATTGTAATAATATTTCACTATTTTTACTATATTTTTGATCAAATAAATTCAGCCTTGATGAGCAGAAGGATCATGCTTTTGAACTATAGTGTTCCTTCAGACGTCTCAGAATAAAATACAATATAAATTTATTATGGACAACTGTAACATTAAATATATAAGTTCAGTAAAAAATAATTTTCAAGCTTTTTGGAGTTTGGCAGACATGATCACTAATATTTTTTTAATGTAATAAACTTGAATGTATTCATCATGATCACAATGTGTATGCATGAGCTTATTGTTTTTGATGTTCGTCTGGTGGGCGATAAATCAGCCGAAAAAATCCCATAGACCATTGGCCCTGCTGTCAGGCAGACCTCTCAGGATTTATTTTATCAAGCAGCCAATAAGTAATGGCCTAAAATCTTCATAGTCACACCATAGCAACCAGTTACAGCACCCAAGCAACCGTGGCCTTTTGTTTTCCTAAATGAATACATGACGTCAGTCATTGACAGTCACCTCTGATAAAAGATTACACTAAATTGTAATAAAGAACCATGGATTTTCTAGTTCTTTTCTTAGATATTCTTGAAACTATATGCATTGTGCGCTATACAAATAAATGTGAATTGAATTTAACCGAACTATAACCTCTCATTGTATGCAAAGCTGTGTTTATCATTATGTTCCCCCAAAACAAACAAAAAAACTTGTATTCAGAGGTGAACTGTCCCTTTAAGCCCAGGGTTTAGCTCTCCAGTGGTTTCATTGGTATGTAAAGTCTTGTCTTGCCTCCAACAACTGGAACTTCTGCCGGGATCCAGAGCAAACTAGTGTTATCGACTGTGTGATTTGTCTTTCTATTGCTCCTTGTACAGCACACACTGTATCAGGATGTATTCAGCATCATATATTCTCAGGGATTTCTTTACACAGACCTTAGAGACGATGATGATAGCGGTTAGTGCATTTCACATAAACACACAGCAGCGCATAGATTAATATATAAAGGCTGGTCTCTCATGAATAATTTAACATATGCCATAAATCGAGGGCAGTAGCCTATAAAGGGTTTTTATTACCTATGATATTACACTAGACCCTCTTCGAGTGAACCATGTAGTATTTTTAACATCCTAGGGCGTCACATAGTGACGCTTTTGACAATGCATATTGTTGTGAATTTGATCCTTTAATTATACTTTTTATTTATTTTTTTTCTTTCTCCTGACATATTTGCACTTCATATCCCACAATCCTTTTGTCAGTTTCACTACATTACCCATACACCCCCTGGGCAAGGTCTATAAGTAGACCTCACTTCCTCCCTTTTTTCCTTTTGTATTGGTGAGGTGTGGTGGTTGGAATGGACACCCAACCATGTCCTTTCCTTAGGATGCGTTGAGTAAGTTTGTTTTGCCAATTGTTTAAAATATATGTTGTTGATATGTTACTGATGAATTATATGAGTTTAATTTCCTTTATTGTATTGTTTGTAGTGACTAAAGACCATCTTGTACGTCCTGTTTATCCTGTCCCTCCATTAACATCTGTTCATTGGCATCATGTGTGTCAGCTCCATGTGAATTAAGACTTTATCATCCTGAACTGAAAATAAAAGAGAGCAAAGGACTGGTATTTTTTCCATGTGTTTTAATCAGACACACCATCAAGTTTCTACAACTCCAACGAACTTTGGATACATTTAACATCTGAGATCCAATACATATATATATCCAACGCACATGGCACCCTTTAGCGTCAATATAACACACTTCGGTTGTGGGTAGGTTTAGGGTTAGACCACTAGGAGGCGCCTTCTGCCCATATATATCTGCGTCTCATATTGAAGCTAAAGGGTGCCATGTGCGTCGGATAATTACACATTGTCAAAAGCGTCACTATATGACGTTTTGGGATGAGAACGGGCTCTGTATAGTGTTTCTTTAATCTCAGAAATTCAAAAGTTGTAATGGAACAGAATCTACAATTCCGAGTTTATGATGTCATGCTTTCACTTTATATTATGCACCAGTCAGTCAAAGCTTATGACAGTCAATACACACAGTTTAGCAAACGTGTGCAGAGCCAGGAGTGTAAAACACTGCAAATGATCCTCACCTGCAGAATAAGTGCTGGCCTTAAACAGCATCGTTTATTCGTCAAACGTCTTTGTCGACAATTGAACACCTGCAAAACCAACGCTTCGTATTTATTTATTTCTGAGCAGCGCAACAATGGAAAACGTTTGGAGATATTAAACATAGCCTATCGTTCATTTACTTCGTATGGAAATGGAACTAAAAACATTCCCAATTATCTGGAGTGTTTTGTTGCAAACACTATTATGAATTTTTCTTCTAGGTCATTTTATGTAGTTGGCATATTTCAAAATGTAATTCTTCTTCAGTGCATTCACTTAAAGTGTTTCTCATGCATTATTCAGCTGGAACTTACACTGGAGATCAAGGCAAAAAAAAAAATGGAAATATTCATGCAGTTATGTTATATAATTGGTCACAAACTCTCTCCTTTTGAACGGTAAGGAGTTCTAACATCAGAATGGTCACATGGGATTTACAGATCACGTGATTGGCTCAGAAATTCCAAGCAAAGATGGAAGCAGGTTACTTCACATGTGCCAATCAAACATCTGCCATGGTGGAGGACAGGTGTCATAACCTACTGGGATCAACACAAAATGTGCTTTTTAACAGTCTGTGATCACTGACTGCTTGCATTACATGGAAAAGAGCGACTGGGACATTCTGGAAGAATGAAAATCCTAGAGAGTTACAACGACAGGGGTGAGTCGAGTTTTTTTTCAGGGGACGCGCCATATGCTCACACTGATGCAGGAGAATTTAAAGTGACTTAATATTAGTGAGTCACGGTGTTTCTTTGTTCTTGCTGACTACATCACTTCCTCTGGCAAACCTGGGCATCAGCTCCGGCATAAATAACTCAAAGAGAAGCAAAAAATCTAAATCAACAGCTCGTATTTCTCCTCCTCCCCTCTCTCGTCCAGCTGTCTATCGGAGCATGGCCTCTCTCATTCCAGTACAAGAGAGCAAATAAAACTGTCTATTCATTTGTCTCGAGCTAGATGCTGTTCTGAATGTGCAGAAGATGGAAAAACAGGACTAGTGATTGTAGACGTGCTCCTGAGGGACAGGAGAGATTGAATTCGGGACAAATTCCATTGAATTTATAATCAGAAGTGAAGCAGAAGATGCTCGATTCTTCGATTACGGGAACCTTTCTGTCCCCGGGAGGATTTTTAAGGAAAAAGTCTATAATTTTGAATGATTCGTTGCTTTAAACTTTGAATTACTTTGATGTTACATTTCGTGTTTGTTCCCTGACTATATGTTATAACGCTGCAGCTTCATGAGAGCCTTATTGTAGTTTGTGAACAATGTGCATTTCTTTTATAACAAAGT